ACAGGCCTTTGTAGAAGGTTGAGGCACAAATTTACCCAAATCAATTATTCAGAAAGCCAAGGCCTCCTTTCAAACCAGGCTTTTGTACTTTAAGCACTCCTAGAAAAGCAAAGGGACATTCTGTTCCTAGCTCAGGTCCAAAATCTAAACTATAACTTTTTCAAATGGCTCGGTTTACTGGTCAGAGAAATAACTTTTCTAGGTCAATTAACACATTTCAATGTGCCAATTAGCAAGAGCGAGATTCTCAAGCCTGTTTGCATCCGCGATGGCAATGTATTCTAAGCAGCACACCCAGGTACAAGGTACAAAGTTGCATAAAAAGAACACTGAGCTAAGTCTGTGGAAGTTAGACTGATGTTCCAGGAATGACATAAAATCATCACTAGCCTGTTTTGTTCCACTTGAATGTAAAACACATTCAAAAGAAACATGGAACAGAGAAAAGGAAATGAGGGAAAAAGGGAAGGGCAGTAGAGGAAAGATGGAATGAACCAAAAGACTAGGATCGACAGGAATATGCCACAATGGGCAATTTTGAAAATGTGGTAATAATAGACTGGGGCCTTGAAGAAGAAAGGAGCTTGATGAAAAGAATCATTATCATTCTTAACATTATTCTAGCAGTAGACGGACGGCTGCAAACACAAATAAGGGCCAAGCTAGAGTAGTCTAGGAAGAAAGTTAATATATTTCTTTTGTCTGACTTGGAGCCATGGGGGCTATTCCTTGCACGTTGCTTGGAGGTCGCTCCTGGAGGTGTCCAGAGGACCCTGATGTATTGGGACTATAGCTTGGACCTCTGCATGCAAAGCACACACACCAACCTTTTGAGCCATCCCCCAGCCTTCTCATAGTTTCTAACATTTCTTTCCTAAATGATTTCTGCATTCAGAAGAAACTAATGGGTGAGAGCATGTGAAAGGGTTGCCTGGAGGCAGCTGGAATAGAGAACAGATCACTAAGAAAATGATGGCTTGAGGTCAGGATGGGAGATGTGTGCTGAAAGTAGATAATGGACCAAATATGATAACCTCTAAGTATCTGCAGTGCAAATCATAATGCCCAAAAGTAGAGGAAGAGTATGGGGAATATTGTCTGCCATGGAGACAGGGGGAGAGTGGGAAAGGGGGGGTATACCAGGGATATTGGTGGTGGAATATGTGCACTGGTGGAGGGATGGATATTTGATCATTGTGTGATTGTAACCCAAACATGAAAGCTTGTAACTATCTCATGGTGATTCAATAATTTTTTTTAAAAAGTTGCCTGGGACCAGCATCATATTGTCAAACTCTTTGCAATGTGAAGGCTGTAACTAAAATGAGAACATGCACCCAGAGGCAGAAGCAGACCAAACGGCATAGCAATTATTCAAGTCATGGACCTCTGACAAGGTTGAATGGGGGATCTTAAAGTGGGCTTCACAGGCAAACTTGGGAGATGTGCAATTGGTGTGCCTCCAACAATTTTGTTTCTGTATTGATTTGAGAAAAGATGTGATCTTCCTTTTCATCTCCTCAAAGAAGCCTATTGACCCATGTCTTTTGGATGGAAAAAAGCCAAGAAGTATATCTAATTTGATTAACATCCACACTTTCCCTAATTTTCAGTCATAAAAAAATAAAGAGCTCTTAATTCTGACTTCTAGGAGTACCCACAGTGGCTATTTAAGCAAGTCGTTTATCCTTTCAAATTGTCCCTCTTGAAGGTAAGATTATACCAGAAAAGCTTTCAGTTCCCTGCTCATTTATTTAATGATAACCAGTTCCATGATGCCTTCTTTTCCCATAAATTAAAGAAAAATCAGCCTTAAGACCCTCCATGGTGGAGAACTTGCCTCACATGTGTGAGTTTCTGGGTTCCATCCCTGGCACTGCATTTCCAAAAAGATCCCTTGTCTGAAGTGAGAAAGGGACTTTCTCCAGATTCCCCACAGCAAAAGCTCTTACTTGTAAAGAGGACCATAGAAACACGCATTCCTTCTTCTAAGGTGTTATCTTCTAAGTTACGAAACCAGGAAGAACTGAGACCTGGGCATTCTCTAGCTGGTCTACATGTGAATCTTGGTTGGAATGAGTTCTAGGACAGAGTACGGTCATGGTCCTCCCGTTGTTCATCGATTTGCTCGAGCGGGCCCAGTAATGTCTCCATTGTGACACTTGTTACTGTGTTTGGAATATCGAATACGTCACGGGGAGCTTGCTAGGCTTTGCCATGCGGGCGAGATACTCTTGGTAGCTTGCCGGGCTCTCCGAGAGGGGCAGAGGAATCGAACTTGGGTCAGCTATATTGACTGCATGCAAGGCAAACGCCCTACCGCTGTGCTATCGCTTCAGCCCAGGACAGAGTACAGGGCATGGAAATTCACTGATGGCCACAAGTCCTTTGAGCTGACTATAGCATTTTCCTCCAACTCACTCTCTCTCTCTCTCTCTCTCTCTCTCTCTCTCTCTCTCTCTCTCTCTCTCTCTCTTTATGCATTTATGTATGTGAGTGTGTGTATGTCTGTTACTGGATCACATACTAATTAGTTCATTTTATTTTTCTTGCTTCTTCATTACTGGTAATGAAGAGGGGGATTAAAAAGATAAGGGACCAAAAAGGGAAGTACAGGCAAAAGATAAGTCAAACTATAGCTTCCTGCCTAATTGGATCATCAGGCTTAAAGGAGTTGCCTACCTTCTATGTGTGTGTGCATATTGTGTGTTTCACTCTTTTTTAAATGTCAGTCTAAACTCATAAAAACATTGCAAAGCAAAAAAGCCTTGAATGTAATTAGTATTCCCAGGGGGGAACTCAACCATGCACATAATTAGTACAGTGTTTCTCAAAGTGGGTGAGACCAGCCCCCAAATCAGGTGCTGGAATCCAAGAGGGCTGTAGTAACCTCATAAGTATCCTTGAGTATAAATAAGAAAGAGAGGCCCTTTTGCTTTGCCTGCAATAAAGAAGGCAAATTTCCAGGGAGATACAGAGTACTTTTTTCTGAAAGGGGGTGGGAGACCCAATAAGTCTGGGAAATTCTGAAGTGGCCTGAAATAAATTGCGTAGACTCAGGCAAATGGCATCACCACTGTGAAATTTTCCCAGCTGCATTTTCAAAAGATTACACCAAGATTATTCACCAGAAGGACTGGAATCATTAATTACAAAAGAGATAACCAAAGAGTCTTCCATTATAAAGAGCACTGCTTTAGTGTGTTTGATAAGCCAGTTGATTACAGCTTGGCATATACTAGGGAAATATCAGGCATTTACAACAAATACAATAGCAAATATGCCATGGGTGGGGGGGGGGGGAAGAAGGGGAGAAGATAAGGGAGAAGAAAGGAAGGGGAAGAAAGATTGTGGAGGATGGGGAAAGAGAAGCCCTTTTCTAGATAGAAAAGCAAAGGTATAACAAAATGGATTACACTGGGTCCCCCACAATATTTGTATATATATCCCTAGTGTAGGGATCTATGTCAGTGACTATGTTGGAATATGGCCCTTAAAGAGATAACTGTTACAATGAGGCCATTAAAGACTGTCCTAGTTCAATATGACTGGTGGCTTTATAAGAAAAGTCCACTGAAACGCCAAGAGACAGCAAAGAGGGGCTTGCACACTAAAAGATAGCATGCTGAAGCAGAAAAGTGTGGCTATATGCCCTAGAAAAGAGTTTCAGGGAAAACAATCCAGGTGGTACCTTGATCTGGGGGCTAACCATAGTATATAAGTTTACTCTGAGGATAAAATAACACGATACGTCAAAACCATGGAAAGCAGTCAGAATAGTTCCAGGCCTCCAAGAAGTGGTAGCTGCTATTAGTACTGGTGTTGAGTGCCAAGAAGCTGAAAAACATAATTAGACTGAGGGAATGCACACATCTTTGGTGCAACACAATGCCAACTGAATTACAACCTGACCTCCGGCTTTCTAACTGAATTGGGATGTGAAAGGGTCTGGGGATTTAATCTCAAATTTGCACAATGGGAACCATAACATCTCTTATTCTGGGAGGTTCTGAAAAAGGTTTCCAGGGAACTGGAGCAAGATTGACAGATAGGCTTTGAGGCTCTATGGTAAATTATTCAGGGTCAATTTTGCTAAGACTATACTAGAGCCTTTAAAGATGTGGAAGATCCTATTTAAAAGGTATGGGCCCCAGTTTTCTTCTCTACCACCAAATCTCACCAATAGCATCGTAACTTTTAGTCCTGGGGTCACATCTGATAGTGATCAGGGGCCACTCCCAGCTTGATACTTGGGTTTTGCTCCAGGCAGTACTCAGGAGAACAGGAACAATTCGGTGCTGGGGATCAAACCAGGCCTCAATATGCATCAGTCCATGGCCTTAGAGGGATTTCGCTAGACTTTTGATTTGTCCTGGCTCTGACCCATTTCTTTATTGAAGCCCTAGTGGTTCACAAAATCCTCCCATCCCATCATCCCCTCCTGCATCTAACTGGGCCTATATCAACCCTCCACAATCAAAACAGAAATTTGTACACTCCCATGGACACGTGAACAAAGGAAGAGGACAAGCACTGAATGATGATAATGATGATGATGAAGATGATAATGAAGATGAAGATGATGATGAAGGAGTGAGCAAATACCATTTGGCAGGTTGTCTGTATGTTCCTAAAAGAGGCTATCTTATCCAACGAGTGATTTTTAACCTTTCTACACTGCAGACAAACACTGGTCTGCGAACTAGTGATTAAAAATGAGTGCTATATGCACAGCCGCATTTGTAGCCATGTGACTTCTCATACTCTACACCACTGATGGACCAAGAGTGGCACACATTTGACTGGGTTTAACAAAAATGTTTGTGGTCTCTTATACAGGGGCTTGATGACTCCGGCAATCTTTGCAAACTTTCTTCTTATGATGGTGGGAAGGTGCAATGGTGGTGGGACTGGTGTTTGACTATTAAATGTAATTATTATGAACACCTTTATAAAAAAATAATTTTTTTTAAAAAAATGGAGAAAAAGAGGCTACTTACCAGCCGGGTATTTACCACAGGAAACAGCAGGGCCAGAAGCGCTCCATTCAACATGTGCATCTGTAGCCTATGGGGAGGGATGGGGAGAAAAAGATAGTCCAGGTCACACTCAGACTATGATACAAAAGGCAAACACAGTGTATCAGGATTTGCCACACCATAAGGCAGAGCAAGTAAACAAGTGGTTCTCTATAAAATGATACTGGAGTTGACACATACCCAGTCCATGAAAAGTAGCATATTTTGTATTAACTGAAATGTTTGAAAAAGCACCACCACTGCTTCAAATTACAGCCCCCACTGCCACCCAAACACCTCCAGAAGGCATTTTGGTTACAACATTTCATTATATAATCAGCTATTTGCTCTCAAAACATACCATCTATCCCCATCAACAACTTTGACTGGTGCAGCTCAGGCAGCTTTAGAAAAGGGACCTAGCCAGGTGTTACTACATTGGAAACCTATTTATTATAACCTAGATGCAGTGTCCACCACCATATGAAATCCCTTTCCCCAAATAGAGACCCGGCATAAAATTCTAGTACAACTCCTGGCACCAACTATAGTGTTTTGTAAACTGTGTGTCCGTACTTTCTTGGAAAAGCTTGTGGGGGGGAGTGGGGGGTGACTGTTGCAGGAGGCAGAGCAAAACAGGCAGCGCTGGCAGCCATCCAGGCTTTCTTTGATCTGTTTTACATAATGGGCTCTGTGGTTACAAAGCTAAAACAAAAAATAAAAAAACCTCGTTCAAAACTCGGCAGTTCACACTGGCTTGCTCTCCTTGGCTCTTGCGCTTGCAATGAAATAGTTACTCACAGAAGCCCTAAAATCTTAGGTCACTCCTAGACCCTCACTGGGAAATTTACTTGACACATTGAGGACCTTCTAGTGCTCCTGTTCTTTCAGCTCACAGATGATATAAATTCTGTTCCAAAATAAATAAATGTATAGGTGCATCATCAATGGTAAATAATTGTCATATCTAAAAAGAGACTGCAGTGGGCAGAGAGATAGTATAGGGAGTAAGGTACTTGTCTTTCATATGGCAGATCCCTGGAGTGATCCCTGGGCACAGTCAGGAATAACCGTTGAGCACCACACTAGGTGTGATGCCAAAACAATAGAGATTACATATGAACACAGACAAAACAATTAATACGTGTTATATAAATTCACATCACAAGCATGAGGCAAAGTATTGAACCATATCATATTCAGTCCCTCAATTTTTATTAAAATCCTTACCATCTTATTTGATTCATAGTAAGAAAATTAAAGCTGTGAGAGAGTTAATGATTTGGCCAAGATCACACAGATAATGAAAGAGGCAGGAGTCACAATCCACAATTGGGTCTTACCGAATACCAGGCCAATGTTTTTGCAACTATGACCTTTTTCAGATTCATGAAATGAACACTACTCAAGTTTGTGTGTGAGGCATGGAAGGGGTAGAACAAGAGATGGCGTTGGGGGTAGACTTTAGGCAAGGCAGAAAACAAAATCCCATGTGTGCTTTTGTGGCAATACTATCCCCAATTACATAACTGTATTGTTCTCTACAGATACGAAGCATAGCCCACAAGCTCAGCAACTGACTACATCATTTTCGTTTTATATTCTCCTCAAGCCTACCACCCAGATTTTTATTGGGTTAAAGGAATGGATAATCAATCACAAAAAGTCTAGTGACAGTTACCTCATCTGTAATGGTAAATATTGATAACCAATTCATAGATTATTATAAGAACTGAATACACACAGTGTTTAGTATGTGATACACAGTAAAACACAGAGAAGCACTTCTTAAGTAAGTGCTGAAGAACTTACCCAAACCCTAAAAATAAAAAGGGGAGAGGGAAAAGAAAAATACAGATATCATGTGAAAGAGTGAACTGTTTAAAATCTAAGGTATGAAAAAGGGATCCAAAGAAGGCAACAAAACATAAGGCCAGAACCAGACATCAGAGCTTGGAGATGGAGTCCTACTCAAGTTGTCATATTTATAAATCTCCCCCTTTGCCCAGCTCAAAGACTTGGCCATTGCTATTATAACAAGGACTCTGTCTGCTTTTATTTTGTTTTATATAAGATACTCAGTTAAGTTAGCTTACTTGGTAAGAACCTAGGGTAATATGGCAAGTGCTATGGGTTTGATTCTCTTCCAGGTCAGCTAATTTAATTAAATTTAGTTATATAACATTAATCATTCATGTACCCAATATTTTTCTTAGGTGTGACAAGGAAAAAAGGAAGGAATTCAGCATATGTCTTCATGAAATTAAGTTACAGGGAAGTCAAAAGTTAAATAATTAGAGGAAATACAGTGTAATAGTTAAGAATCTAGGGTTTAGAGTAAAATCTACATTCAAATCCTAGCTCTCCCACTTACTGGTCAATAATTCTGAACAAATTACAAAATAAAATAGGAAAATAACTACCTGGTTGAAAAACTATTCAGAGAATTTCATGAGGTAAGATCATGTAATGTGATTGCTACAGTATTTAAGATATCCTAAGTATACAGTAAGTGGTAACTATTATAATCCTTAATAAAGTAATGCAAATGAACATCATGTATATTCATAATAACAAATGAGGGGGTCAAAGAGGTAGTACTTCCAGCAGTAGGGCTCTTTTCTTGCACATAGCCAACCCAGGTTTGACCCCAAGCCACATATTGTCCCCTGAGCACAGAGCCATGAATGAGCCTCGATCACCAGCTATAGATCCAAAGTCAAAAAGAAAAGAAATGAAGGTATTAAAAACCTTCATAATGAGTTCTGGAGGAATATTACAGCAGAAAGGTTGTTTGTGCCTTGCATGTGGCTGACCTGGGTTCAATCACTGGCACCTCATATGGTCCCCTAAGCACCACCAGGACTAAACCCTGAGCACAGAATCAGAAGCAATCCCTGAGCATCATTGGGAGCAGCAAAAAAAACCTTTTCATTAGAATACTAATGTTCCAATTTAACACTTGATTACAACCAAGAACAAAGATACATGAAAGGGAAAATAAGTTCAATAGGTGACTAGAAAGGCAAGTTCATAAAAAATGAATTCTCAAAGCAAATGATAAAATACGTTGAACTGGGAATCAGTGAGATAGTGCAGAGGGTAAAGTGCTTGCCTTACACGAGGTAATCTGAGTCTAATCCCAGGTACACTTTATGCTCCCCAAAGCCCCACAAGGAGTGATCCTGAGCACAGAACCAGAGTAAACATGAGCACTGCTGAGTACAGTATCAAAAGACAGCAGAGCTCTGTTGTGTGTGTATATTTATACGTTGTATTATATATATACTTCATATACACTATATATACACTATACATATATGTATATATATAAAATATACATACACAAATACATGCACAATTAGACCCCAAAACAACATATAAAATATATATATATGATTATAACATAAAATTCTTATATTAAGAAAATATTCTTAATCAGTATTCCAGGGGCTGGAACAATCTGCACACAGTCAACCCGTGTTCAGTCCCTGGTGCCCCATCGGGTTTCCAAAGCACCCCAGAAGTCTGGTGATCTCTGAGCACAGAACCAGGAGTAAGCCGTGAGTACTGCCTATGTGGCCCAATTTTTTTTTTTATTTTTATTAGTGAGACACCATGAGGTACAGTTGTAGACTTACAAATTTTTTGTCCTTGGGTTTCAATTATACAATGATCAAATACCCATCCCTCCACCAGTGCCCATTTCCCACCACCACGGATCCAGTATCCCTCCCACCCACTGTCCCCCCCCCCCCATCCCACCCTGCCTCTGTGGCAGGGCATTCCCTTTTGTTCTCTCTCTCCTCTTGGGTATTATGGTTTGCAAAAGAGGCAATGGGTGGCAATCATGTTTGGTCTATAGTCTACTTTCAGCATGCTTCTCCCATCCTGGAAGGATCCTCCCAACACCCTTTATTTGGTACTCCCTTCTCTATCTGAGCTCCCTTTTCCCCTAGCATATGTGGCTGGCCTCCAAGCCATGGAGTAAAATTCCTGGTACTAATCTCGGCCATTCTTGGCTGTTAGTCTCCTATTTTGTAACTTTATGTTCCCCAGATAAATGCAATCTTTCTATGTCTATCCCTTTCTTTCTGAGTCATTTCACTTAACATGATACTTTCCATGTAGTGCCATTTGTATGTAAATTTCATGACTTCATCTTTTCTAACAGCTACATAGTACTCCATTGTGTAGATATACCAAAGTTTCTTTAACCAGTCATCTGTTCTCGGGCACTGGGGTTTTTTCCAGATTCTGTCTATTGTAAAGAGTGCTGCAATGAACAAATAAGTGCAGATGTTACTTCGACTATACTTTTTTGTCTCTCTGGGATATATTCCCAGGAGTGGTATTGCTGGGTCAAATAGGAGCTCAATTTCTAATTTTTTCAGAATCATCCACACTGTTTTCCAAAAGGGCTGAACCAATCAGCATTCCCACCAGCAGTGAAGGAGGGTCCCTACTGGCCCACATCCACAAGAACAAAATTTTTAAAAAATGAAAAGCAATTAGTATTCCAAATTTTCACATTAAGAATCCAGAAAAAAGTGCAAAATAAACCCAAAAGCAAGAAGGAAATATAACGAGCAGAAAACAATGAAAATAAGAGTTTATCTTTGAAAAAATCAATTTAAAAAAAAGAAAAGCATCTGCCATAGAAATAAGCTGTGGAGTGGGAGGAAAACTGAGGACATAACTGGAGAACAGTGAACACTGATGAAGAAATGAGTGCTCAAACATTGTACAACTGAAACTCGATCATGAACAATCTGTAAGTTTGCATGTCATGGTGATTCAACAGATTTAAAAGAAAAAGCCAATACAATTGATAAACCTAGGCAGAATCACACATTTTAAAAAGAGAGAAGACAAAAGTTATCAACATTAACCAAAAAAAATGAACATCAGTATAGACTTACGGCAATTAGAAGAACAAGGGGATAGCATGGATACTTGTCTGTGCAAATAAAATCAATCAGGATGATATGGATAATTTCTTTTCTTAAAATTTTTGTTATTGAATCACTGTGAGATACAGTTACAAGC